TTCAGTCATATATACCATGCAAATGTTAACACCACATCACTATCTCCAGGCCACGTCCCTGGAACAGCCTTTGGGTGTGGGAAAGGCACATGGAGCCCCTGTTTGGAGGACAGGAGGAGATGTGGAGCTTCCCAGTCCCCAGGTTCAGCTAACAGGTCAATGGGTGGTCACAGCTTTTCCATGACCTTCCCCAACATCTTGGAAAAACACACCCACTGTCCGCATGGATGGCTCACACCCCCACTGCACTGCCATTGGCCATGGACACAATGTCTGTGTCCCCCTCAACTTCTTATGTTGAAGCATACACGCCCCCTTCAGCATGATGGTGTTAGGAGGTAGAGCCTTTGGGACGTGACAAGGTCGTGAGGGGGCAGTCCTCAGGAATGGGATTAGTGCCCTTGTAAGATGAGGCAGGACACAGTTTGCTTCCCCCACACAACTGTCGGGGCCTTACACAGAGATTGAAGGGGAAGGAACAAGAAGGAACCCTCTCTGGCTCATGGTGGTGATTATACAGGTATATACAGATACCAAAAGTCTAAAAATTCAGTGAGCCCCAGGTAATACTTGTGCACTTGCCTACAGTATTATGTGTGTCATACATCAGAAAAAAACCTTCAAACAACACCAACCGGCATGTCACGGGATTTGACATAAAACAGGAAAAGGAAACGAGAAAGGCCAACCAAGCCACAGGACAGGACACGTTGCAAATAGCAGAAAGTCAGGTTCAAGGACCTCAAAGGCTTCAGTATTAATGAGTCTTTATGTATGAAGATGATATTTCCTCTCCATGCTCGCCAACATTGGTATGGTCAATCTTTTTCATTTTAGTCATTCTCACAGGTGTGTAGAAATAGCTCATTGTGGTTTTATCTGTAAAGTCTGTACCGGTGTCACCTCTCTCATTCCTGAATAGTAATCTGAGTCTCTCTTTCTCTCTTTCCAGTATGGCTACAGGTTTATCAATTATGATCTTCTCAAAGATTTCATTTTTATTGACTTTTCTCTATTGTTTTTTGTTTTTTAGTTTGTTGATTTTCATACAGATATTTGTGGTTTCCTTTCTTCTACTTACTTTGAATTTAATTTGCTCTTTTTTTCCTGTTTCTTCCCTTTTTTATTCTTTTTTTTTTTAAGAGACGAAAGCGTGGGTGGTTGGGGAGGGGCAGAGTGAGAGGGACAGAGAAAATCCCAAGCAAGCCCCACACTGAGCACAGAGTCTGATGCAGGGCTCTACCCCCAGGACCCTGAGATCATGACCCAAGCCCAGATCAGGAGTTGGGCACCCAACCAACGAAGTCAACCAGGTGCCCCTCCCTGTTTCTTAAGATAGTAACTATGGTCATTTATTTAAGTCTTTTCTTCTTTCTTAATATAGTCATTAAATGCTATAAATTTCCTGATGCATCCCACAAATTTTAATATTGTGTTTTCATTTTCATTTGGATAAAAATACCTTCTAATTTCCCTTTCATTCTGTCTTTAATGCATGTGTTATTGGAAAGTATGTTATTCAGCTTGTGAATATCTCAGGGTTTTCTAGGCATCTGTTACTGATCCTAATTTAATTACACTGTGGTTAAAGAGTATGCTTGAATTCTTCTTAACTTGTTGAGACCATTTTTATGACTCAGAATATGCTCCATGTTGGCAAATGTTCTTTGTGCACTTGAAAAGAACTGTATATCCTCCTATATGGGGGTCATAGTGTTCAACAAATGTCAATTAGACTAATTAGACTAGTTGACAGTGCTTTTCAAGTCTTCTGTACTCTTTCTGACTTTCTGCCTACATGTTCTATCAACTGTGAAAAAAAGGATATTGATATCTCAAAGTATAGCTGTGAATTTCTCTGATTCCCCCTGCCATTCTACTGGGTTTTGTTTCATATACTTTGAAGTCTTATTATCTGGTGCACAAATGTTTGGGATTTGTAAGTTTTCTTGATTAATTTGCTCCTTTATCATTATGAAATAACATTCTTTCTTCCTAGAGATATTCTTTGCTCTGACGTCTACTTTACCTGATATTAAGATAGACACTCCAGCTTTCCTTTGATTAGTATTCATAGGCTATATCTTTTCCCATCATTTTCCTTTTAACATACATGCAACTTCAATATTTAAAGTGCTTTCTTGTAGGCAACAGATAGTTAAGTTTTACTTTTTGTAATCCAATCCAACAATCTCTCATTTTTACATGGTGTATTTAAACCATTTACATTCAAGATGACTTTTTACAGGATTAGGTTTAGATCTTATTACCTTCCTATTTGTCCTTTGTTCCCTTTTTTCTCTTTTTCTGTCTTCTTTTGATTGACAAATATTTTTATAGTGCTCTTTTGTCTCCTTCTTTGGCTTATTAGCTATAATGCTTCATTTTGTTGTTTAGTGGTTGCTTTAAGGTTTACAGTATTCGTCTATAATTTATCACCATCTACCTTTAAATGACAGCACACCATTAAGCACACAGGTTAGGAAACCTTCGAAGGGATTCTAGTGTCTCCCCCACCGCCCAGTCTTTATTCTACTGTTGTCAGAACTTTACTTAAACACATGTCAAAGCCTCACAATAGAATGTTATCTGTTTTTATCATTTCAGGGTCTTGCTGTTCAGCTTTGCCAGATGGAAACAGAGCACTTCTCTGTGAGTACTCCCTTCTGTGTGTTCTACCCATTGCTCTGTCAATCATGAGGTATTCCAGTTTGGCTGGTGGGAACAGGCACTATTCTCAGCCCTGTGCTGAATGGAGGGCATCTTTCTGTGCTTGTGTGTGAGATGTGGGGAAACGACCTGAGGCCAGGGAACAAGCCACCAGAAAGGACTAGAGTGAACAGACCTGACTGGCTCACATCATGGTGTTTGAGGGCAGATGCTGCTGAACTTCTTGGAACTAAGGACTCCATAGACAAAAGCAATCCCTAGGACTGAACATGAGGTATGACTTAGTCACAACTGTGAGGCGGTTCCTGGGCTCCTAGCACAGGCCTAGCCAAGGACAGGTGGGAAAGGTTTTTAGAATTCCACATCCCCTCCCCAGATCCTCTTAGAAGGAAACATCTGCCTCACCTCCCTACTCCCCCACCTCACTTGCAATGGAGAAACACCATGATATCCTGCAAATATGTCTTGAGGTGAGATGGAGTCATCCGTCTGATGGTCACATACATCAAGGGGAAAGTTGGGGCACAAAGCCAATGACCTACATTGAGCAGAACTTTAAGTCACCTGATCTGAGTCCAGATCCTGCTCATGATGCCAACTGAATATATGGTCCCCTCATGTTTCCGCCCCCATCAGTTTTCTCATCTGGAAAATGGTGGTAACAAGAATAATACCTACCTCAGGGAGTTCTTGAGAGGAGCACCTGAGATGATGTTCATAACCCAGCTGTGAAAGAACTTGCATGAGAGGCCTCAGCCCTCTTTCTCGATGTCCATTTTGAGGACAAACTCAGCAGTTCAACTCCCAAAGTGATTGACCCCTGAAAATAAATATAATATTATATGTCAACTGTACTTCAAATTTTAAAAAAATGTTTTTAAAGTTTTAGAACTGTATATCGTACAATTTCTGGTATTTACTGTATGTAAATAATATTTCAATAAGGTAGTTTAAAAAAAAAAGAGGGGTGCCTGGGTGGCTTAGTGGGTTGGGCCTCTGTCTTCGACTCAGGTTGTGGTCTCAGGGTCCTGGGATTGAGCCCCACATTGGGCTCTCTGCTCAGTGGGGAGCCTGCTTCCCCTCTCTCTCTGCCTGCTTCCCTGCCCACCTGTGATCTTTGTCTGTCAAATAAACAAATAAAATCTGAAAAAAAAATGAATTCACGGGGCTGGGGGGTAGGCACCTAGGTGGCTCAGTTTGTAGAACATGTGACTCTTGGTCTCAGGATTGTGAGTTCAAGCCCCATGTTGGGCATAGAGATTACTTAAAAATAAGAAAATCCAAAAATTACAAATTTTGGAGGACAAGGGGAGATGGAGAGGAGAAGGGAGTTGAGGGAAATTGGAAGGGGAGGTGAACCATGAGAGACTATGGACTCTGAAAAACAATCTGAGGGTTTTGAAGGGGCGGGGCGGTGGGAGGTTGGGGGAACCAGGTGGTGGGTATTAGAGAGGGCACGGATTGCATGGAGCACTGGGTGTGGTACAAAAACAATGAATACTGTTACGCTGAAAAGAAATAAAAAATTAACAAAAAACAAACAAACAAAAAAAGAAAATGTCATATAAGACAATATTCTCACTTGGAAAAAAAAAAGAAGTCACAGGAAGCAGGGAGGATGTTTACACTGAATATCACAGCACGCGCATTTTGTGTGATATATTTGAGGGCTGAGAGCAGGGGCTCCAGAAACAGACTGTCCCCTTCTTATTGGATGAAGGGTTAGTTTGGGTGACCATAACAAAGGGCCACAGACTGGTGGTTTGAACAACAGGAATGCATTTTCTCTTCCTTCTGGAGGCTAGGAGTCTAGGTGAAGGTATCAGCTGGATTGGCAGCCATCTGCCATCTTCTCTCTGTGCCTCCACACAGGCCTCCCTCTATGTGTATCTGTGTCCTCATCTCCCCTTCTTATAAGGACACCCATTATATAGGATTAGGGGTCCACCCTCATGCTCTCAGTTTAACTGAATTGTCTCTTTAAAGACCCTGTCTACAAATGCAACCACATTTAGAGGTACTGGGGGTTAGGACTCCACCGTGAATTTGGCCATTCAGCCCATAAGTAGTGATCCTGGGAAACTTACCTAACCATCTGGGAGGATAGTAATATGGCTGCCCACATCACAGGAGCATGGGGAAGAATAAATGGTAATACATATAGGGCTTGGCACATGGTGGGCACTTAAGTGCCACCTATAATTTTTATGTTCTCCATCTAATACCTCCATTCTGTCTCTCCAGCCAACCTCCCCATCTTTTGCACTTTCCTCCCCTGACAACATCCCTCCAGCATCCTGATCAATTGTTCCTGGTCAGCTAATGCCTAGATGGGGTCAAGCTCCCCTCTGAGGGCTCCAGGTCCTTCCTGCTCAGCACAAAGACTTTCTTCTTCTGTTGTAGGAGCAACGGGAGTGAGCAGCAGGTGCTACAGCCCAAGGTCCCCGTGCTGGTGCAGAAGGTAAGGCACTCCTACTGTGGTGGATGGTGGATGGCTCCGACACCAATGACATCCTTAAATGGGTCAAGGAGCCATCAGCACTGGCAGGAGATTTGTAACTTCAAACATGGCTGCTTTCCTGGGGTGACACCAGTGATCCAGCAGACACTGGAGCCACTTGGTTGTAACTATTCCATCTATATCCACAGTGTCCCCAGCAAGCATGCTGGAAGCTACCACTGTGTGACTTGAGTGAGAAATCAGAAAAGGTCCTGGAGGAGGGCACCTCCATGCTTGTGAATGTTGAGTAGCAGGCTCTACAGGTCCAAGCACCTGGTTCTGATCTGCGTCCCTTTACTCACAGCCATGCTGTGCACACGAATCCCAGCGGCACATGAAATAAGTGTGTCGCACTCACATGTGTACAGGCAGCGGGAGGGGTTCTGCCCCATGTGCCTCATTCCAGGGCCATGTCTTTTTGCAGCTATCCAGAGTACATCTGTGTCGTGGAGATGGCAGGAGCAAAGAGGACAAGTCCCAATACCCCAAGCATGTTTCTGGCTTCTAATCACATCATGTCCACTAACAGCCCATTGGCTAAAGCAAGTCACGTGACTAAGCTCAAAGTCAAGAGATCATGATATATAACCTTCTTCCCACCTCAAGACCCTGGCAAGAGTAGGAATGCACCATACCGCCAGGACAGTCAAGAACTAGGGCTGATAATTTCATCTACTCCACTCCCCACGTTATCAGTCATGATATCTCTAAGTCCAGCAACAGTGACCTGGGTACTCAAATCCTGGGTCTGCCATTCAATGAGAGTATGTTCTTAAATCGATCACTTCAATTCTATATAATTCAAGTGCTTAACTTGCAGAATAAGTGACATTCCTACACTGAAGGTCATTCGGGTGATGAACTAGAAGAATGGATGTTTGTGGAACTACCCTGTAGACTGCTGACAGGCAGAATACCTGTGGCAGGTGGCTGGAGGCAGGGGAAAAGGTGCATTTTAACTTGGTGCAAGCATGTCTGAAGGGCTTCCTGGGCTCCTTCCAAGCTGAGACAGGAGCCTTCTCTTGGTCCTACAGTCATCTAGGTTTCCAATCTCAGGGGGATTTTCTGGGCCATCTCCACCACCAGACTGAGAACTTCCTCTTAGCAGGGTATCTGTTCCTCCTAGCAGGGTATCTGTGTGCCCTGCTGGGCTTCGTTTTTCCAGATCTTAACATCAGCACCTACGAGGTACTGAGAACTTCTCTACTGAGTGAATCTACTTGAGAGTAATGGCAGGATACAGAGGAAGTCGCTGAGTTGAGAAATCAGGGAGGAGGGGAGAGAGGGAAGATATGAGGGAGGTCATGAGTGGACAGCAGAGGAAGAAACAGAACACAGCAAGGCCCCTCTCTTTGGCTTCAGGAGCTGGGGACCCAGACCCAGACCTCTGGATCATCTAGCCCCGGGGTTGGTATTGGCAACCACTAAAGACACTGTATTCCTGAACAGCACAGTGCTTGGAGAAAGTCCCCCAGAACCCATTAGGTGGTTTCAGGGGGCTGGCCTGAGCCGGGAAGCCATTTACAACTTTGAAGTTATCTTCCACCCCAACATGACAGCAGTCCAGGACTCCAGGAGTGATTTTAGCATTCTTCTGCAAGGTGCCTCCACTGGATAGGTAGGCAACTACTACTGTGTCAAGTTTCAGAGGTAACTCAATGGACAATACCTGTCTGGACAGGGCACCAGGCTGAGAGTAAAAGGTGAGACAGGTGGTTTAGGAGACATCAGGGGTGAGGGGGAGGTGGTCCACAGGGAACTTCCCGTCACATCCCAAATAAGCCAGCTGTTCTCAGCCTCCAACCTTACACAAGCCATTTCCTCTGCCTGGAATTCTTTCTCCCTCTCTCTGGAGAACTCCTACTTGTCCTTCAAGGCCCAGCACAAATAGCCCCTCCTCTGTGAAACCTTCTGTTTCTCCTAGGCAGAGTTACTTTCTTGCCATGCTGGGCTCCACAAAACTTTGTATATAGACCATCAATGATTTAACTTCCTCTCTTCACTGCCCTGCACAGTACTAGGTGTTATAGATCCTGCAATGAATCAGACATTGTCCCTACCCCAGAGATGCTCCCACAGGTCTAACTATAGTCCCTCATAGTTGCAGGGTTTGACTTCTAGCCCCCAATCCCAGGCAGACTCATCTCGATGACCCCAAGTCATAGCGTAGGGGCTCGGGAAGTGGCAGGACAGAAAAGAAATGGGAATGAGAGACTGTCTCCCTTCCTTGCAGCAAACCGCACTTCTCCCCAAGAGACAGAATTCATCAATGAGCATATAGACAGGATGTTTCTATCAGGTAAATGTACCTACCTGCTGTGAAGGTAACCAGTCCCCACAGACAAGGGCAGTCAAACATGGCTTGGCCGTGGGAAGGGAGCAATCCCTGACTTCTAGGGTTATCTGCCACCAAGAAAATAGTCCCAGGACTTCTCAACTGCAGAACCAGGAAACCAGAGATCCATGTTGAAGCTCAGTCAAAGAAAGGACTCTCTAACAACCAGTGCTGGCTGTTCAGAGGGCAGTCTTGCTTGAGAGGTAGTGAGCTCCCCGTGAGCCAGGGCAAGGATACAGCATGAAACTATATAACACAGCACTGGAGAACATGGCTTTGTAGACAAGCATTCTGGGTTGAGCCTCTTTCTAGCTCTGTGAGAGGGGAGAAAGGATAAGAATCAGAGAGCCTACCTCACAAGGTTGTATGTAGATTTGATAAGATTTACACATGCCTAGTGCCCAGAACCATGCATGTCACATCACCTCTTAACACTCTGGGGCACTTGGGACTGGGGTGAGGTTGAGGGTGAGACTTGGGGTAGCAGCCCCGGATGCTCCCTATTGCTCAGCCCTGTTCCTAACATTCTTGGGAGCGAGACCACCTGGTCCCATCATTTCTCTGACATATATGTCCCTAAGCAAATCATATCCCCTCTCTAAGTCTGCCTCCTTATCTGTACCAATACATTATTATCCTACCTTGCAAGATAAGTTTAAGGATTATATTAGGCAATTAGGAAATGCTTAGCTCAAGGTCTGGGGGAGAGGAGCTGAGCAACCAATAAATGAACACAGTTTTCTATGACTGTCGGAAGTCAGGAATGCGGTCAAGATGATTAAGCGTACAGGTAGGATATTGGGCAAAGCCTCTTCAGATCCAGGACAGAAGGAGGGGAGGTCTTAGATCTCCTGTCTCAATGTAGAGAGAATGTGGCCCCATGATTTGTAACAGCTGGGCCAGATTTCCCTGTGAGGACACTGAGGTCTGGACTATTGGGGCTTCACCCAGGGTCCTTCCTAAGCTCTCCCCTGTGTCCTCCAGACCTCCTGTCTATGCTCACACTTTGATCCTGCAGCTGAAGACAGTGATCTTGGCTGCACTCCTGCTGGTCCTGGCTGCCTGCTGGGGGAGGCCCCGGCAAGAAGACATCAAGACCCCAGGCCCAGCAGGACAGAGCCCCCCTTTAGCATGGGGCGTGGGCCATGGGTAAGAGGTCAGCCCCAGAGTGGCTTCTCTGAGTTGGGAGAGGGCCAGAGCTCCCCGGCCATTTCTCTGCCTCTGATCTCAACCTCTAGATTTTCCCCAGGTCTCATGCCAAACTCCAGGATCTCCATATCTGGTTTCCAATCACCTGGTGAAGTTCTCCACTAGGCGCTGACTGGGCTCCCTTCTGGTGTGCGTGTCTCCCTTTGCAGCCCATGCAAGCCCTCCTTGTCCTTCAGGGCTTTGCCTGGCTCTCTTCTCGGGGCCCTTGTTCCTGCTACAGCCCCTTCTGGAGTGGCTGCTCCCATCTTCCCCTCTCCCCATTTTCTCATGCTGCAAGATCCAACTCCGAGACTTTCTGGAAGGTTTTCCTAAGCATCTCTGAGCTTGCAGAGCCAGATTGCCCAGGTCCCTCTACTTACATCCTTCTCTCTCCATTTCCCGTCTTCTTTCCTTCCCCACCATGGTTGGCTTAGGTGGCTATAATAGTTAAACACAGGTTTGGCAACTTTTATAAAACTCTTAAGTCACAGTGGCTTAAGCCAGAAGAAAATTGATTTCTCTAGTAATAACCAAGCATAGGCAGGCCAGGCAATAGGGGATTCCTTCCTCTTGTGGCTACCAGGTCTACATCCCAGGCAGCGAGTCTGGGGAGGAAGGCAGGGAAGGAGAGTAGTATACTCTCCCCTTCAAGGGCGCAGCTGGGAACTTGCCCACATCACCTCTAATTGGCTGGAATGTGGTCACATGCTCACAACTAGCTTCAAGGAGGGCTGGGAAATGTAGTCTTTATTCTGGCAGCCCTGTGCCCCCCTGTCATTCTTCACTAAAGGAACCAAAGACCAAAGTCAGTAGATAACCAGTAATGTCTACCGCAGTGGCAAGAGGCAGCTGCTTCCTTGCTCTGAGTTCAATTCCCAGCTGAAAAAGTACATCTTTGTACCACCACCTGCCATAGGGAGTATAAGCGAGAACAGTAGTGCTCAAGAAGAGGATGTTTTCTCCCCAGTGTACATTTGGCTATATCTAGAGACACTTTTGATTGTCACAGTTTTGGGGTTGTCACAACCTGGGGGTTGTCACAACTGGCTATCACCATCTAGTGAGTAGAGGTCAGGGATGTTGCTAGACATCCTAAAATGCACAGGGCAGCCCGCACAACAAAGAGTTGTCTGGTCCAAAGCATCAGTAGCGCCGAGGCCAAGAAGCCAGGGGGGAAGTATGGCATGCCTGGCTCTCAATCCCGAAGTCCCCACTCCCTCACTGTGTGCCCCTAGTGACTAGTCAGTCGCTTCACGTCTTGGACCCTCATGGATAATAATGCAGACACAGATCATTAGGTGGACTTCTCTGCATTGTCTAAGAACTAATTTGATTCATTTACTGTGGGCTTCATATGTGCTGTGTGCACCATGTACACAGTATTTGTGAGCTCCCTTTCTGCTTTCCACATGATCATTTACTAGCACCTGCTCTGTGGGGAACTGCATTAGCCTTGCTGTTTTTCATGACGACAATAGTAAAAACAGCTCGCAAAACCTCCGCCAAGGGGGACAGTAGTTTAGCCTGAGAATTGCCTAAAACATTGAATGGCCATCAGAATGATAGCCTCCTGACAGAAGATATCCACACCGTAATATCTGGAACCTGTGACCAGGACCTCACATGGCAAAAAGGGACTTTGCAGCTGGAATTAAAGACCTTGAGATGGGAATGGGTCCCGGATTATCCAGGTGGGCTCAAAATGCAGTCACGAGTATCCTGATAAGGAAGAGACAGGAAGGAGATTTGACATGGAGGAGAAGACAGCAACTTGACCACAGAGGCCGAGATGGGAATGATGTGGCCACAAATTGAAGAAAGCCAGGAGCTCCCAGAAGCTGGAAGAAGCCAGAACATCTTCTCCACAGAGCCTCTGGAGGGAGCAGGGCCCCCTGACACCTTGACTCCTGCCCAATGATATTGATTTCAGACTTTTTGTCTGAGAAACGATGAGACAATAAGTTTCTGCTGCTCTAAAGCACCAGGTTTGTGGTCGTTTGTCACAGCAGCCCCAGAAAATGAACAGCAAGGAAGGAAACATGGAACCAAGCCTCTGGAAGAACTGTTTTGCCCCCAAAACCTCCTGGACTTTGCAGGGCCTTGCACAATCCAGTCCCTGCAAACCAACCCCCTCCCCAATTACATATCCCATTACCACCCCGTAAACTGACTCTGCCCTGACACCCACCTGGGCATTGGCCACACCACATTCCTTAACTCATCCAAGTGTCCCTGCTCAACTGTGTCCTTCGTGAGGGCTCCCAGATGGCTCCATCCACCATGACATCTCCATCCCTCTCATTGCCCTCACACAGCGGACTTGTTCTTCCCGGCATTCACTGCTGCCTGGAATAAACATGGGTCTATTTCCTTCATGAGGGCCAGTTGTCTTCTCCAGAATTTGAGCTTTCTGAGGGCAGGGGCTTCACTTTTCACCATTCATAAAAAGTCATAAAAACTCAGTCATAAAAAATAGTTGAAGGTGGACAATAAGCCAGGCACTAATCAGTGTGCTGAGAATTAAAGAGAAAAGTCTGTTCTCTCAGGGCATCCCGACTACTGGAAGACAGACAATGAGCCAGTAAATATAGATAAGTAACATGTCACATGGTGGTGAGTGCTAAAGGAATAATAAGGCAGAATCTGGGGCGGGAGGATGCTTGCCAGAGCAAGGGAGAGGAGATACGTTTTATTTAGGGAGGTCAGGAGGGTCTTTAGAGGTAAAGTGACATTTGAACAGAGACTTGAATGGAGTGAATAGAGAGACTTGTAGCTATGGGGGGGTAGTATAATAGGCAAAATGAACAGCAAGTGCAAAGGCCCTGAGGCAGGAGTATGCCTGGCATGGCACAGGAAGTATCAGTACCAAGCAGGTGCTTGGCACATGTTAGACCCCTATAGGAGGTGTAGACGGTAGAGATAAAATCCACAATCTTGGGAATCTACTCAAATTCCTGTTCTCTATTCATCTCTTGGGTGTGTTCTCTCCAAGTGTCTTGGTTTTCTTATCCATAAACTGATAATGATATTATCATTTCCCTTCTTAGGTCATTTTGAGGCTGAAATGCATTGGTGCATGTAAGACATTAACTATGCCAGCCCCAGTGGGTGTGCGGGTGGGGGCAGACCCCAGAAGAGGTGGAGAAGGTGCTAGCAGATAAAACAAACCATGGGTAACTCAGGGAACCTTGGTGGGCACTTGGGAAAACTTGCCATTGACAGACTGAAAGAGTGGGGGAGGAACTGGAGTCAGAGCTGCTCAGTCCAGCTCCTCCCCTGCTTTAAGGCCCAGAGCCCTGCACAGGCAAGATGACCCACCAAAGACAGAGAAGGGGGTGGGCCCTGAGCCACAGCTCCCAACACAGGCTCATCCTGCTTGAATCTCAGGATCTGGACCTCTGGAGGTCAGTGGCTGTCCTCCAAGTCTCTCTGAATCAGAGCATCTGCTTCTTCCCACCTGTTCTTCTGTTTTCTCCTTTCCTGCTCCTCTTTTTTCTCTCCTTCCTTCCCCACCAATGGTTCTTGCCCTCTCCTCCGTCTTCCCCGAAAAGCCCCATCGAACCTGCCCAGGCTTGGCCTCTGTGGCAGCTCCTAATGAGAGAGATGGGTCTGTTCACATAGCTCTGCTCAGGCCTCCAGGGCCCCCACTTGCTCCTGCAGAGAAGGCCTAGAGCAAGAGGAAGGGGAGGGATAGACAGAGGCTTCCTGTTATCCCACCACCCTGATGATGGCAGCCTTGAGGGTTCTGTGTTGGAATGGGGCAAGAGGAGGTACCAGGTCTGATCAAGTATACCCCACTATGACCCATAAAACACACAGAGCCCAGAGTGTACCTGGGTCACTGGGCCGGGAGTGGGGCAGTGGTGGGGGGGCGGTGCCAGGCCTAAGTCAAGCACGATATTACACGTTTCTAAACCATCTAGATGGTACTATATAATGGTACTTTATCCCACATGTCATTCCCTGCCTTGTTCTTTGGCTCAACATTCGAGATTTCTCCAGGTTGATTACCTGTAACTCTAAGTCATGCATCTTCATGGTCATATGGCAACCCCC